TATATATATATATATATATATATATAATCATAACAAAACAATGTGATATGTGCTCCTAACTTTTATAAAGAAGGGCTTAAAAATTCGGCAGTTTGGAGTGTTCTGAAGTCCATAAAACTTAAGGTCATAAAATTGATATTTTTCAATAAATAACTCCACACTAAATTTTAAAATTTTGAAGAGGGCATAAATTAAACTTTTTTTTGTAAAAAAGATTATTTATATAGAAATTTATATAGTGTAAAAAGATTATTTTTTTAAAAGAGCCGGCTCATGAGCTATAGAGTTGAGTTGGGGTTGTCTTGAGCATGACTTGTTAGCTCACTAATCAAGTCAAACCTGAGTGGGCTCACAAGTGAGTTTAGCTCACTTACACCCCTATTAAAGCCGTAATTACATGATTTACACCAGTTTTTCTACAGAATTACAAAGGAAGCCTTTAATCTTCATATATAAATGCCTTTATTTATCTTGTTTCTAAGTTTCCTTAAAAAATTGAAACATTTCTATAATACTTTCTTATAACATGTTCTCACCCTCTCCCTAGGTTTTGCGAAAAATGATTACGTCCGTCGTCCTGACGGGCGACGGACCTCCGCTGTATCACGGCTGCCGCCCGGATGCAGCTCAGTGTCAGGAGACGGACGTAATAATCTCGCCTATTTTGCGCAATGAAATCGGACAAAACTGAATCGCAAAACAAGTAATGTTCTCCCGTTACCCAAAGAAGGAAAAAAAAAAACAAAACATGATAGCTATTTACAGAATTTCTGGTAAATTTACATGCATGCCACATAATTCTCAATGTATTTTTACATATCTAACACCCAAAATTTGATATTTACTCTTATAGCACTTTGATGTCATAAACCTAAAAGGATCGTCATTATGATATTTTTGATGCAGTGTTAAAATTTGAGTGGAACATACGTCAATAAGAATGTTTTAATCTAAGAGAATTGCGTGGTATGCATGTAAATGCCCCTAATTATTAAAAGAGGTCTCTCCCAAAATAACATTTGTGTGAAGACAAAAACCATAAAACCAGTCACATGGGGGCATATGAAAGCACAGCAATTTCAAACAAACAAAAAGAATTATAATTGGAACTTTGTGCTGTGCAGCAAGGCCTAAAATTTAATTAAAAACTCGAAAAAGTCGGGCCTCGTTTGAAAAAGTTTCGCTGTTCAACGGAGCTCCTTTAAAAATATCGTGGCTGAAACGACATTATCATCTGAGTTCTAAAACGACAAAAAATTAACGTTCCTATGAAATAATTTCAGAATGTCTCTGGAGACGCTGCTTTACCAAACACAAATCAATTTATACGTCTTGCATTCAAAACATCCGAACAGAGCTTGAATGTCTTCCCAAACGAAGCCTCAAGACACATGAATACTACCAGCTTTCATGGTCTTTAGACTCCAATTCAAACTACTTTTAAGACCATGAAAGATTCATGGCTTGTAGTGTTACAAGAGAGAAGAAAAAGTCCAGCAAAGACGAAAGAATTCAAGTGTGGCCAGTTTGTTAGTAATAAATCATTTTCAGAAATTTTTATATTTCTAAAAATTAATATATGGCATCAAACCATTTTTTATCAGGATAATATAACTTTATTTTATGCCAAGCCACAACACAGCAGTTTAATTTAACTTTATAATATTTTTATTTTTTAACTTATTAACATGAATACAATAGCTTCCATTAACAATTATAAAATAAAAGATTCTCTACCATGACTATTTCAAAAAGAAAAGCTAGTGCACGCTCGTGTAAACTACTCGTGTGCGCGCGCGCACGAGAAACATGACACAAATACTAACAGGAATAAAAAGAAAAAAGTTTAGGGGCATTTGCATACATAACCTTATCTTATTTATTTGCATATCTAACAACTAAACTTCTCGTTTTAGATTTATACCACTCAAATTTTTCATATCACACCAAAAATATCACTATTTTAACTTTTAAAAAGTGAAATGCACCTTTTCATGCATATAGGTAAAGTAGCATATATATAATAATTGAAGTATTGGTGTTAGCGATGTAAATACATAAAAATTGAGTGGCAAGTGGGTAAATCATCCTTAAGTTTATGATTCAAAAAGAGATGACAAAGAACTCATGCTGGTGAAAGATGAGAACTTTAAAATAACAAACTTAGCATGGAAATTTCCATTCAAGTCAAAGACCTTGGTGCTTCAACAAAAGCATTCCATAAAATATAACTGAATATAGCCAAAATGTGAAGCAGAAAAGAATTAAAATAATGTTAAACATCAGCATGTAATATAATAATACGACAAATGAATACATTGACGTGTACAAAGAGCCCTAAAATGACTTTAAAAATGATCTTTTTAAAATCCAGCCTACGTTTTATTCATGAGTCAGAAGAAACTCACTGGACTTACATTGTCTTACAAAAACCTCTGATTACAACAGCACTGATGAAAGAAGACACCAAGACACATTTAAGCCAACTGTTGTTGGTCTTCAAGCAAATGCTAATGTGCTGCTCTCTGAAATTTGGCAGAAAATTAAAGCTATCAATTGCATAACAAACAAAAAAAGTGCCGAGTTTTACTTATATGGTGCAATGATTCTTCTTCGGCGCTTAGGGGTCTCTCTCTTTACATACATCTTCTCCATTTCGTTCAATGCACGGCTAGATCCATCTGGCAAGCTTACGAACTTCCAGCCGCCGCCTGCTCCTCGCTTTCCCTTGGATCCAAGTTTCTCTATGGTGAAGTTCCAACCGTCCGGCGCCCGCCTTCTGCTATACTTGTGGCATTTAACCTCGCCCGCAACCTGAAATATAAGTAGCGCAGGAAACTAAGAAAGCATAAAATGAATTGACATGAATGATGTAATTATTAATATAATTTTTTGGTCGATAGCGAAGAAAGAGATCAAGTAAAGCAATTCACGTGAAGCTATACAAGCTTAGGTGCTTCACTGTAATTCCAACCAAGTCAGTTACGCTATTATCTAAAAGTACAAACAATAATCATATAGTTTACAATTTAATTAATTACACATTGACAATTTCGTTTCATAAAAGATAGTTAATTAAGTTTGATTTTACAAAATACAACCCGAGGGAAATGGATGTATTAAATCTAAACATACTTTCTTTTTGTTGAAGTTCAGTCGCTGAACAAAATCTTCATATAACATTTGGTCTTCCTTGACAGATATCTCATAATGAACCTCGTCAGGATCTCTGGTTGTCCCATCCCAGTCCTCTGGCATCACTTTGAAATCAGGTTTGTAAGGAAGACGGGCAACATGGAATTCTCTGTCATGGGAAGTGAAAAATCTACAAAGAAAGAGAAGTTTACAGAACATATTCAGAAGTTAATCATTCAAATCATTATAAAAATAAGGGGCAATTTCGGACAAAACATCCATATGCTATTACTTATAAAACAAACAAATCCTACCATTATCCGTCAAATTGCCATCCAGATATTAAAATTAACTAAAAAAGGACTCCAATATTTTACTTTCATCGAATTATCAATGGTTTGGTTTCAGCATGCACGTGGATTTCATAATTCATTATTTTAGATTACCATATTTGCAAGGCATATAAATACTTCACTCTATAAAGATCTGAAAAAAAGATCTGAAAAAAAAAAATTCATATAAACAAATAAAAGTTAGATCAAAGGGTCAGTAACAGTATATGAACATTAACACTTGGTTTGAATGGCATATAAAAGTTGTCTGTAAAAAATGATGCGTCGAGACTCAACAATCATAGCTGCTTAGAATAAGCAATTCTTCCCCCAAGTTTGCAGTTTTTTATGGATGCATCATTTTCGATGCATTCATTTCTCCTCAAGCCATCATATAAGCATTAACCCAACTCATATTCATTTACTTTCATCATAAAAGTTCAATATGTGAGGGAAACAGTCCAGGTGTAACACTTGAAACTGCTTTGTAGCCAAGTCAGAGCTCATTTCAATCTAGAAATCACCATAGAATAATTTGTTTACATCAAATTTTAGACATTTTGGCGGAAATCACCAGAAGGTTGAGTACATTCTACTAGTCCTAATCATTCACTTATTGCGCAAAAAAAATTAATTAATTAATATAATTAGAATGGCCCATTCCCACTAAAGTGACCTCTGCAAATGTGAAGTTCACAACTGACAAGTGATACTATTAGAATTTTAACTCAATAATTTGTTTGAACATGCAGAAAATTCAAGAGAGATGTCAGCGGGTGCAAAAAGAAATTTGCGTGGTGGGCAGTTTTTCTTTTTAATCAGGGAGTGCCTGGACATGAATTTATTAAAGAGACAAGAAGAGAAATAGAAAAAAAAATCTTGTGATCGTGGAGTATGATTTTAGTAAATGAAAACAGACTCACGCCAGACTCACACCAGAACTTTTGCATGTTTATGTTTTCTTTATAGTGTATCCGATGCTCACCCCTCCTTTGAGAACTGATAGTTTTAGCTTAATCATATAAATCTCAGTCTTTGTGTTGCTAGATGTCTTTTGTTTTATTTGGTGTGTTAATTAAATGTGCTCTTGTTAGATGCTTTAGCATATAAGTTGAGTGCTTTTCCTAATAATTGATATTAGAAACTAATAAGGAATACTATAATTGATAATAGGACCTAATAAGAAAGCCATGAATTATGAGTGGGAGAAGTTTTATACTCAAATATTGGCCCAAGAACCAAGAGACTCATCTATGACTCATTAGTAACTTGGTGATAACAAAACTTGTGTAGTGTCATCTAATGATTTACTAAATATTTTAATATAGGATAATTAACTTTCAACAAGTATGAAGATGATGATCATGTTCGCTAGACTTGCTTAAAGCATTAGTCCCCTGAAGATGGACTCAAGTGAAACATTGATTTTTTTGCTAAAATCGATCTAAATTGTATTAGATATTATTTAAAATTAAATTATGACTTCTAAGATTTTAATTCCATTTATTTTTATATAAAAATATTTCATCATGGAATTAATTACTATATTATTATAGAATTTAGGCTAACTAAAATTTCATAAATATATTATTACATGTCATTTACATGTGATTTATCCTAATTTATGCCAAGTAATGAAAATTAGCTTATACTTCGTGAATAAGTTTAAAGATCTAGAATGTTTATTTTAGCTTATTAACAAAATAAATATTTTTGCACAAAAATATATTGTTTTAGATCACATTTAATGTGTTTAGAAAATCATAATAATTATCAATTAATTATGGTTAATGGGAAAACTATCTACTTGACTAATTTGAGCCTATTTCATTTATTCACTAGATTCATTCGGTTGCTTACACATTGTTTAATACATTATATAAAATGCTTTGGATTAAAAATAAATTTATCATAATTTTTCAAAATATTACTTTTCCTTCCAAACATGAGCAAAACAGTGAACGTTAAACCCATTCTAATTTGTGCTTATGAGGGTCTCGGTCCACCCAAAAAATAGCAAAACAACGAATAATTTTTGGAGTTGTTCATGTTCTTTAGAGGTAAAATTTTTTTGGAGATTTTTAAAGCCATTTTCTAGCCTACAAATAGAGGATAAAATTAGAAGAAAATTCAGTACAACATGCAAAGATTGTGAGCATCAACGTTGTAATATTTTTAAGTGACACTAAAAGAATCAAAATGTTGGTGTCTCTCTCTGTCTCTCAGCAAATTCTAAAAGTACATTTGCTTGCCAAATACACCACCAAAGTTCCAAAGAATTTTGGAAAGCTATTTATTTTTATAAATGAAGATTGTGAGGTTGCCTCACTTGTTAGGAAAGATGTTGCAGTTGTGTTCACCAAATGTAGGAAAATACATGATCTAAACTACTTCTTGCATAATGAGTGAGCTTTTCTACCATAGAGAATTATCATAGTGGAAGCAAGGGATGGGCTAAGGTATGGATATAGGTCGATTAGATGTCAAACCACAAAAATATGTGTAAAAATGATCTTAAACATAACTTACTTTCAGTGTTCAATTTGGTATTCTTCCTGGAGCATAAATGCTTATGTTCTTTGTGAAGGGCTAATCATATATCTTGTAACTAAAGTTGTATGCATACACATCTACCATAGATCTGTATACATCCCGAGAATCTCATTGTGTACCCTTGTGTGGTGGTTTAGTGATTGTTGAATCAGAAATCAAAAGCTTAAGTAGTAGTGACAATCCAATTATATAGAACTTGTCAGTTTATTATTATGTCGGTGCCTAGCCTAAGGGTAATTTGGTATTTTATTTTTTATTGTTATATTATAAATAGGGCTATAATGCATAGGTTTAAGATTATGTATAAGATTGAGTTTTGAGACTTAGATTAGGGTTTGGAAGAGATAACCAACCACTTGAATTGTGAGGTGGGAGAGATCACCAACCACTTGAATTTTAGGTGCTTATCTTTATGTATTCCAGTTGTCTTGTTGGCGTTATTGAAGAGAAATAAAGTGCTTTGAACAAATTTCAGAGGAATTTCCTATCAAATTCGAATCAAAGTTCTCCATTCCTGAAAATCAACGAGTTCACAGATTTTAGCCATGGGAAGCACGACAAGAGAGGCGTACCTGTAGTCGCGGAACAGCCGTGAAGGGATTGCAGCAGGAAGCTACGGGATCGCGGTAGGAAGTGACGGGACGTGGCAAGAAGTGATGGGAAGCTACCGTCGTGATTTTATCTGGGAAGAAACTGCAGGATTGCGACGTGCAAAAGGATTAGAATCACAGCATGGGAAAGGATCATGACGTACAGACGACACTTTGTGTGACGTCACCTCGTGAAATAGTCGCGAATGGAGCTAGATTAGAAGCATCACGGCAAACTAAAATCTCCCACTCCGTCCCAGTGATACAGTCGCGATTAGAGATAACTGGGTTGACGCGAAGTCATGGTCACAGCTTGTAACAAACCTAATCGAGTCGAGAAACACGATGGGTTGGCTTGCCCTAACTGCGATCCGAGAAGCACGACGTTCGGCTTTCCCTAACTGTGATCCGAGTGACCAAACCATGCAATCTGAAAACAAGGGATTGCAGCGATTGCATCTTAAAAACTTCTCGATACAGTTGTGATTCAAGCTACCAACAAAGTTGAAGATAAGATTTCAACGAAAAGGAGTTTCTGAATAATACAGAGAGTAATGGAGGGGAAAAATGGATGGTTTGAACGAGAAATTAGCAAAAGAGTTCAGCCACAGTAAATCGGAGATAAAAAAACATTTCTCTTCCATAGAAGGGTGGTTCGAGAGAAGATTCAAAGCCCTGGAAGAAATGATGAAGAAGATCATATAATTTCACACAAAATCACCTCCGACCATAGCGAAATCGAGCGACAGCATCGGGAGCGGACACCAGCAGCAACAAAGCAAAAGGATTCTTGCGACATCAAGGCAGCATCGCTACTTTAGGCAGATTGGGAGCTATGATATCAAGCAAAAATAACAGGAACAAACTCGAGCGGGAGCACTTGTAAGAAATAATGCTATATTTGAACGACTTGAACAAACAGAAGCAAGCAAAATCAAAGTTCATAAAGTTGAAAGAGAGGCATGATACAAAGTTGAAAAAGATTCTGGTAATTGATAATCTACGAGATGAGTTGTTTGGGGTCGTGATATTCTCTAAAGATTGACTGGAAGTCAGGAAACAATCCAATTGGAATGCGGTCGAAGGACGCGTACAAACAGCATTTCAAATTTTTTAGTCACTACAAATTTTTTATTAAATGGAAAGAATTTTCATATGACAAAGTATGTAGGAACAATACGACTTAATCTAGCAACAGTTTTCCCACCTTGAGAATAAAGTTTTTTTTAGAATAGAGTATTGTTGCGCCGGTGCCTAGCCTTAGAACAATTTAGTCTTTTATTATTTATTATTGTTTAGTATAAATAGGGCTAATATGCTCAGGGTTAGGATTATGCATGAGATTGGTCCTTGAGTTTTAGTGTTAGAGCTTCAGAGAGATTTCCTACCTCTCAAATTGTAGAATTTGAAAGAGATAGCCAACTTCTCAAATTATAAGTGCTTATTTTTATGCATTTCAGTTGTATTGTTGGTGTTATTGAAGAAAAATAATGTATTTTGCCTAATTTCTATAGAGTTTCCTATCATTAAAACACTTGCATAATTAGCTTAATCTTATAATAAATATCATCCTTCGCTAGTGTGCTTTCTACTAGCTTGCATAATTAGCTTAATCTTATAATAAATATCATTCGCTAGTGTGCTTTCTACTATAGGTTGGCTTTTTTTTTCCTCTAGACCTTATTCTAATAAAGTAAAGCATACAATGCTTGTTG